TGGCTGGAGTTTGCAGCATTTATAAAAAACTGCCAATTTCTACTCCGTGGTCACACACACACACACACACACACACACACAAGTGGTGCTGAGGGAACCAGGGTCTTGAGGATACCTGGGCCCAAGAAAATCTGGGAAAATAGTGAGTTGAAAGAACAGTGATGATAATGATGATGGTGTAAGAGCATCTGTTGAGTGGTCCTAAGGGTTTGTATACATGTTCTCATGGGATTGAATGCTATGTGGTCGGTGCCATTTTATTCTCATCTTAAAGATGAGGGATCTGAGCTAATTAAGCAGAGGAGAGGTGGTGCCTGAGACCACCTGGCAATGCCATGGCCACGCCCCTTGGCCGGGGTTCCATTGGCTGGAAGTTTGACTGGCAGGCGAGCGGGGGCTGCGTCCCCAGCCAGAAGCAGCCAGTGCACTGGGCCCCTGAGAGAGGGCTAAGGACGGGCTTGGTGCTTCTCCAACGGCCACTTCTGTGTGTTGACACATTTCCGATCGAAAGTCCCGCCTTAACCTCTTCCCAGAAAGCACCTGGGCCTTTTCCGGGCTGGGGCCCTCGCCGTGTTCACCCAGTAGAAAGCGGCGACAAAGGAGCCGGGCTCTGGGGGCACAGGGAACGGAAAGTGGCTGTGGGTCTGCTGCGCCCGACAGCGGGCAGGACGCTCCCCGGAAACCAGGACTTGGTTGCCTTTCTCTCCCTGGTGGTAACCGAGCTGGCTGTGTGCCAGGCACTGCGGGCATCGTACCATTGTACCTCCCAGTGCCCCCGGAACAGATCCCATCGCTACCATTTTTGGTGGTTTTTGCCGAGGACCCTGAGATACAGAGGCTCAGCCGCTGACTCAGGGTCCCTGGGGCGGAGGTGGGGCTTGAACCCGGTTTGTTAGACTCTGAAGTCCTCCTGCGTGAACTCTGCCAGGCACTGCCGTCTGCTCTAGTGACGTGGGGAGTGGACTGGACTCAGCACAGCCTGGGCCACTGTCCCTGCCTGTCTGTCATGTGGACGGAGCCGCGGACCCAGGACATTCCAGAGGCACCTGGAGGCAGTGACCACAGGGTTCTCTGGGGATGCCCAGCACTGAGGGTTTCTCCGCGTTTTATAGCAAGCCTCGTTTCCACAGCCACAGGTGTTAATTAGTATGGAAGCATGCCTTTTGATTCTGGAAAGTTCCGTTTGGCGAAGAGATGTTCAAACATTAAAACTACAAAATAAATTTTCTGGGGGGGAGCGGGGGGGTAGCTTCTGAAGCTCCAGGTGAGTAATTTCATTCCCCAGGACTCCTCCACCCAGGCCGTTTCTGTGAACGGGTGAAACTTTATGCTGGAGACTGCAAAAAAAAATAAGGCTCTTTGTGGAAACACAGATATTAGGTGTAAAACTTAAAAAACAAAAAGGAATTCTATTTCCCTTTAACTTCCCTTTAAAAAATGAATATATACTCCTTGGAAGGAACTGATGAGAGACAGATGTATACAAGTTCCCTTCAGAATCCAGCAAAACTTTAAAAAGTTATCATTTTTTCCCTGACAAACAGGTATTTCTGACAACATATCAATAGCCAACCTCAAGTGCAAACCCAAGCCCCAGTAGGAAAACCAGGGTAGGGGTGAGTGGAGGGTGAGGGGGCAGAGGATGCCCTGATGAGGGGGATGGTGAAGAAAGGGCGTGGAAAAGTGAACCCGGGCTGGTGCCTGTGGGGATCCTGCTTCTGCCCTGGGCAGCCAGGCGACATTATCCTCTGCCAGCCTCAGTTCTCCCCTCTCTCAGGTGGGCTGGCCCTCGGCAGCATTCCTCGCGGGGCTGATGGGACAGAGCAAGCATGTGTTGTGTGGAGCAGGTGCCTGCCACTTGGTTAGCGCTCGACAAATAATGCCAACAGCGTTGCCATGCTTATGGCTCCGGTTCATACAAATCTGCCCCTAAGTTGTGAATTCCACACATCTGAAAGTTCCCAGCTCTAGCTCTTCTGGGGTCCCCGTCACAGGTTCAACTTGGCCATCTCAGACCCTCTCCACTGAAGGATGTCCAGTGCCTGCACTGTGTATGAAGAGGCAGCTCATGAATAATGCATGTGAAGCTTGATTATGTAAATCCTCGGGTTTTCTTACATTTTTAGCCAGCACATGACAATGGCCTTGTTTTGGGCCCTTTGCTGTCCCATTCTGTGGTCTGGTGCTTTAGGACGGAGCCTGCCAAGCCCTGGGGGGAGGGACACCCCAGGAGGGCACCTCTCCAGAGGGCACATCAAAGGCAGAGCCAGAGCTCTGCCAGGCCCAGCTCTCCCTGCGGCCTGGCTCTCCCTGTGGCCCGGCTCTCCCTGGCGTTACTCGTTACTCGTTACTCGGTGTGAAAGGAAGCATCCCTGTGCCTGAGGCAGCCCTGTGACACGTGCGGATGGCGGGCTGTGATGTTTAATTTAACTCAGAGCGGCGGATGCTACATCTGGTGCTCCCTCAAAGTCGCTTTCATTTCTGGGGCTGCAGCCAGGGAGCCTGCAGTCTGGAAGGTGTGCAGGACAGAGGACAGGCTTCTGCAGGGATCTCATCTGAGTCAGCTCTTCACCTGTCTGCTCAGCACTAAAGGACACGCTCTTCAAGGACATCCATCCATCCCCATCCACCTGTCCATCCGTCATACACCTACCTCTCCATCCATCATCCATCATCCATCCATCCATCCATCCATTCATCCCCATCCACCTGCCCATCCATCATCTATCCACCTCTCCATCCATCCATCCATCCATCCACCTCTCCATCCATCCATCCATCCATCCATCCATCCATCTCTCCATTCATCCATCCATCAATCCATCCATCCATCCATCACTC